CACCAGTAGGCATTGGATATGTTTCTGTAAAGCCAACCAGAATGCAGCACCAGACCCCAATAGCTACAGAGGGGTGGAGGCTGTACCTGGGTACCAAACCCCACTGTCTGTGTAAGTAACCCCATACAACCACCGACACAACAGGAAGGTTGTGCCATTTTGGTGTCATGGATCTCAAGGGACACACCCAAAGGCCAGAGCAAGGGGATCCACAGAGAATTTTCAGCAAGACTTAACATGATATGACAGTGGAGGTCAGAGCATATTTGGCCATCCTCCCCTCACTAGGAAAAATTCCTTTCAAAGCATTAAAATTCTATCACTCTGCTTAACACATTAGTTTTTTTTCTTTTAAAGCTGTATCTGGTTTGCACAGATAGAAGAAACCCTGTTCTCTGCCCTCTCCTTCTCTCCACACTCTTCCTCCTGCTGGGGGACCCAGGGGAGCAGTAGCAGCTGCTGGTTTCTTACAGCCACATGATATTCCTGACAGAAGGAGCCTGTTCACGGACCTGCATGGAGATCCCACACTAGAGAAGGAAAAAGGTGGGCAGGAGCAGCAGTGCCCTCCCTGCCTGTGGGTGGGAGGAATGAGCATGAAGTGCTAGGAAGGGGCAAGAGGCAAGGAAAAGCATCTTAAAGCCGTAGTGAAGTTAACAGCAGAGGCAATTTGCCCAAAGGTGCTTTTAAAAACCACAGGAAAAGATTTATGTTTTCCCTGTGTAATGTGGCTTTTCCCCTTTTTCCAAATAAACTAAGTTAACAACAATGTTTTGACTATTTCCAAGCACGTTCTGGAAAGTCATCCACCCCTCGAACTACCCAGGTAGCAGTTCCTAAATGCTGGAGCCCACAGCTCCTGGAGCACATGCCAAAGAGCTGGGTGGCCATGCCACACTGGCCCCTGTCCAGATTTTCAAGCTGTGCTGAAATACGGTTGAAAACGTTAAATATTCCCCCAATATTTTTGCTACAAACAACCCCCACAGCTGCCAGGAGGACATTTCAGCTGCACAGGGGAAGGGCACACGGCCAGGAGATACTTTGACACAAGAGGTGTCCCACATTGCAGTCCAGTCTTGAAGAGGGAAATAAATCACTAGCTATCATCACCTGCACTGACTTGACTGTGGAAAGCATCCTTTCTGTCCATCAAGGCAACGACAACCAAAAAAAAGAGCTGTCCCACACAACCACACCTCCTCCTGCTGCAGTGCTGCTAGAGCAGGTAAGGACAAACTCCCTGTGCACATTAGAGTGATGCAGGGAGGCTGGATCAGATGACTCAGTGTGGTCCCTTGCAACCTTACCCATTCTGTGATTCTGTGATTTTACAAACCACCAAGAAATACGCCACAACAACCAAGCCAGCAGAACCAAAAGACCACTTCTGAAGTGGCACGCAAGTTTTGTACAGCAGATGGCTGACAAGGCAGCCATTTAAAAGGGGAGGAAGGGAAGGGAAAAAAAAAAGCAGCCAAGCCACCCCAGAAGGCAGAAGTGCTCCCTGCCATCCTCAGATCCATGCAGAAACACAGCATGAAGCTGAACTCATCCCGAAGCACCCGCTTGTGTCCCACTGAACTTTTGACCTGCAGGCGGTGGCTGAGCCCCTCCTGAGCCCATTGCCGGTGATGCTGCTGCAGCAGAGATTCAAAAAGAGAAGCCCAGGCGCCTGCATCTGCCAGAGCCCGCCCGAGGGCCAGCTGTGCCCACCCTCTCCCCAACAATGCCCAGAGTCCAGCCTGATGGATGTGCCTCTTTCCCCTCGGACACCCTGCCCTGCGCTCTCTGGCTATGCACAGGTCCAGCGAAAGGAAAATGAGAACATTTGCTCGCCAGGTTTCTGCCATCCAGCTGCTGATGGCAGCCCCACATCTGGCAGCCTGGAAGCTTCACTTTCTTTCGAGCCAATAAGTAGAGGGTAAAGAGTTTGCATTTAAGAAGTGAAAAAAAAATAAAAAAAGAAGAGCTCCATTCTGCCTCTCCAAACTACTAAAGGCCCCAAACTTCTCAAATACCTTCATCAAATCTGCTCAGCACAGGAGGGATGGGTCCAGATGGCCCATCATTACAGAGCCTTCCAGCTAGCTATGGAGAAACCCACCAGAAGGAAAAAAATATCAGGGGAAAGGGGTAGGGGGGGTATGGGGGGAAGAAAAAACAAAAAATAGCCAGAGCTTTTGAAAAATTACCAATAGAACACCACAAATTGGAAGATCAGGTTGAGTCTCATTTGAGGACTGCAGGGATGGTAGCAGTGAAACCTTAACCTGACCCACCTGCTGAAACTGGAGGGACAGTGAGAGCAGGAGGTATTTGTTTCAAGCAGAATTAAGGCTTGTTTAAAACTTCTCCCTTTTGTAAGGATATTGTGAGTTTAGCACCAAAGTCCCCCCGGAGATAAACTGGTATCAGAAAAACAGCAAGAAAAGCACCACCAGCCAGAATTTAAGCTCGGAGGAGCTCACACCTCCTAAGAAGAAGAAGAAAAAATCCAAGGAGAGACAGCTGCATCCAGTGTAAGACCATCCCTCGGAGATACTGGACAAACACGAGCTGTGAAGCTCAGGGGGTTTGAGCATGAGCATCCTCCAGCTGAAACCCTCTGAGCCTGAGATCTCCATTTTTCCTTCTGCATTCCCAGATTCACTCTGTGCCCAAATGGACTGGGGCAATCACCCCTGGGTTACTCACTTTTGAGGGAAGGGGCATACCCCAATCCGTTGTTCAGCCCCAAGCACACCTCTCCACAATTACCAAAGCTAAAGCAAGAAAACATCATTCATACATGAGCACAGATTCACTTTTTGATGGTTAGCCAGAGTTTTATTTCCCCCCAAAAAATGTATTTTAAATCCTGGCATCTCCACAAACCCCTAGAAAAACAGCTACCTCCATTTTATTCAGACATCCCTGAAACTCAAGCATGTCTCAGAGGTCTGCAGTGAGACCAGCCAGAAGGGGCACTGGTATTATTACATCCAAAACCTGGAAGAAATCTTTTTTATGCAGCTAAATAAAGCACAAATAAAAAACCCACCAAAAAAAACACAGAGCAATACTCAAAGTGCAACTCCCATCGCTGGCCATTGGTTTCAAAACATGAAATTGATTTCAAAACATGAGCAAGCTCTTTGTGCAAAAATCTGTTCCCAGATATCCCCAAACCAGCGATGAGAGTGGAACAACTACACCAGGCAAGAGCCAAGGAGAGGGTGAATTTCAAGGAACAGCAACTTTTGAAACTGCTTGTGCTGCTCACTCTGCCGGAGAAGGAGATTTACTCCACGTGCCCGAAAGGAGCAGAGCTCTGACAGCCGCATCCATCCTCTGCCAGCATCCCGATTTTACCCGCAATTTCCAGCGACCCTCGGACAAACGCCATGCTTTAAACCCCATTTCTGCCAAGGGCTGCCGGTCATCCACCCACGTGCACCTAGGGTTTTTTTGGACGATGTTTTCGGTGTGCTGCTTTTGCTCTGCAACACCCCCAGCACCAACACGCCCGCACTCCTCCTCCCGGGCATCCCCCCCCCAAAAAAGCAAGTTAATTTGTTCCGAGTGATGATGTTAACTCCCCCAGCCTAAGCGTGCTCTGGGAAGCAAAGGGGAGCCCACATTTACTTCATTTGTGAAGCAAGCCAGATGCTAATTGCCTCCAAAGGTGAAAGGCTAGTGCCTTGGCCCTTTTATCATTGTAAATTCAGGTTCCTTCAAGACTTTACGCTGCTGGGCCCGGAGAGCCTCCCCCTTTAATGGTTTGGCATCAATAGGAGGGGGAGGGGAGTTCTCTTTCGCAAGAAGTTGCATCATTGAGAGATCTTATCCCCTTTCAAGATTTCGTACCGCATAAGGGATTCCCCCTCTTCAGAAATTCACATCCTGGTCGAGGAGTTTTGCTCTTTAGGGCTCCGCGCATCCCATTGAACTTTTAAGCATCTTTGGAATTCGCATTCACGGGGCAATTACTGTCTTTAAAAAACACACGCCACCACGTTATTCACCCGGTTTATTGCCAACGCGCTGGCAAGAATAGCTTTTCACAGCAAGCACAAAAGATTTCCTACCAGGACACACTTTGTTTGTAACATTTGTAGCCGGCGCGCAAAATATTTACGGGACATTAGCGGCGCAACACGAAAATATGAATTGAAATCAACCAGGAAAAAAAACCAAAAACCAAACAAACTAAAACCCGAACAAGCCACACGAGAAAGTTACAAGGGAAAACGGGTCGGGAGGTACGAAAGCCGAGCGCGTTCCCCGGCTGGGGCACCGGGGCGGCGGTGAAGGCACCGTCGGTCGCCGGCGGCTCCGCGGAGCCGCACAATGAGCGGCGCGGAGCCCCGCGGAGCCCTCCGGCCACGCCGGGATGCGCCAGAAAGGCTCGGCCGGACCCTCCGGCGGCACCGGCCAGGTGGGGACCCCCACCCGCAACAAAAGGAGCCGGGCCCGGGCACAGCGGAGCGGGCCGGGCGAACCCCCCAAGAGCAGCGGCTGTACCCCCGGGGGAGCTGGGGGGTCACCGGGCCGGGCCCGCCTCTCGCCGCCACCATTTTGGGCACGGGGGACCCACGGCGGGCTCCGTGCCGCGTCCGTCCCCCCGCCACCTTTGTGTGCGGACACCGGCCCGGCGGCGGAACAATGCGGCCCGGCGGGGCCGGCCCCGCTGCGCCCCCGCCGTGCGCCCCGCCGCCCGCCCAGCCGGGGGGCTCCTGCCCGCCGCCGCCCGGGACGGGCGCGCCCAAAGTTTGCGAGCGCGCCCGGGAGGGACGGCGAAGTTGCCGGGTCCGCCTCGAGCGGAGCGAACGCCCCGCGCCGCATCCCGGCGGAGTCCGGCGGCACTTCGGGGGCCGAGGGTGTCCCCGCCGCATCGCGGGGCAGCGGGAGAGGCGTGAGGGAGCCGGCGGGCAGCGGGGGCGCAGCGGGAGCGGCGGCACGGACACAGCCCGCGGGCTGTCCGGCGGGACGCGACGCGGCGCCCGCGGGGTTCTCACCTCGATCTCGAAGTCGGGCAAGCGGAAGGCGGTGCGGAAGAGCGAGCAAAAGTGCGCGATGGCCGGGACTTCCCACCAGGAGCGGAGCTCGTCCAGCGCCACAGCAGCCGCCGCCTCGGGGCCACCGGTGCCGGCTACGCTGCCACCACCGCCGCCGCCGCAGCCGCCGTCCTCCTCCGGGCACATCTCCCGCGGCCGCCGTCCGCCCGCTCGGTCGCTGCCTCCCTCACTCCGCGGGCGGCTGCGTGTGGTGGTGCCGCCGCCGCTCGGCGCTGCGGCCCCGCCCGCCCCCCGGCGCCACGCCGCTCAGCGGCCGCCCCCCGGCGGCCCCGCGCTGCCCCCTCGCTGCCGCCCGCGCACGGGGCGGCTCAGGGCCGGCGGGGGCGCTGCTGCTGCCGCTGCCCCCCCTACCGCGGGCGGCCGCCGCTGCGCGGGCCCATCCTCATCGCCCTCAGCGCCCTCCGCCTACCCGCCCGCGCCCCGCGCAGGAGCGGCCGCGCCGCCGGGAACAGATGGGCGCGAGGGGGGCCGAGCGGGGCGGGGCGGGGCTCCGCGCGCGGGGGGGCGGGTCCCGGAGGAGGGAGCACCAATGGAAAGGCGCGATTGGGCGGGGGGCGGGGCGTGGCGGGCTCGGCGGGGCGGGGACAAAAGGCGTGAGGGAGGGGCGGCGCGCGGCCGTGCACGAGGAGCGGGCGGGGCCAGCGCTCATCACAACAACAGGCCCCCGGCGCCCGCCCGGACACGCCCATCTGGGGAGGGGCTATGGCTGTGGGCGGGGCGCTCCCACACGCGGCGGCTCCGCCGGTCCCGGTCCTGGTGCTGATCCCGATCCCTTGGCTGGCACCGGGAGCTGCCGGGGATGGCTCCTGGTGCAGCGAACCCCTGCGAATCCCCCAGGGTTTCTGCTCCCACTTCGTGCCTCTGAGTGAGGGAGCCCAAGCGGCGCTTCTTGTTGGCCGCATGCGGCTGCCACGAGGAGCCGGACGCGCTCCTGTGCCCGGGGACAGCTCTGCGTGTCACCCACACTCCCGGTGCCTCCGTTCCTCCCGGCTCGGAAATGAAGAGCAACGATGCCCTATTTTGAATTGTATTGCGAGAAAACGTTCCGCGACAAACAGGGATGAATTACCTGCCTGTGGAGCTGCGTTAAGGGGACACAGCTCCAGTGGAACCGCGAGCAGCTGTGACCTCGTGTGCTGTCACTGCAGCACCTGACGAGCTCTCTGTGGGCACCGCAGCCCAGCTTCAAAACAGCTGCCAAGGATCACCGTGCACAGCTCTGCCTCAGGCTTAGCTCCAGTGACACCAGCGTGAAACTGGAGTTCAACCACGGTCACAGCAGAGCACGGTTAGGCTGTGGATGAGGGCAACTCCTTCAGAACTGCACTAATCCCACAGCCTGGTCTTAACTGGCGAGGATGTAAGGAAGCAGTGAAATGACTGAGTTGCAGTGGGAGGGGGATATCCCCTTCCAGGAGCAGCCTGAAGCTCCAAGGGTTCAGGCTGCAGACTCAGGTTCACACATTGCAGGTATACCCTGCTCTCTCTGACTTGCAGGGAAAGGCTGGTGGCATCCCTCAGTGCCACCCTAACACCTGCTGACATAAAGCAGTCTGATTTCAGCATGCACTTTTGAGATCTCCAGGGTTTCCTCTCCCTTTTTCCACTCAAAATGAACATATCAACAGAGAATAAGGTGAAGGTATAAGCTCTGTGCTGTGTCTCAGGCCACTGCCTAACAGCCTGACCAGGGAAAACTGGCTGAGGATGGGAACAAGCTGGTTTAGAGAAGAAACAAATCAAGGAGCAGCAGCGTGGCTCAGCAAGAATTAACAAGCTCTAATTTCATTGCCCTTTTTCCTATTGCAGGATCAAGGGATACTCAGTGAAACTGGAAGGAAGCGAATTTAAAATGGTGCAAGGAAATATTTGTACCATGTGTAATTAACACATGGCATTTGTTACCATGAGGTTTCATTGAGGCCAGGAGATTAGCAGGATTCAGAAAAGGATTAGACATTTATATGGATACCAAGAACATTCATGGTCACATTAGACAGGATATAAATAAATTTTAGAAGGGATATAAACTGTCAGGCTTCAAGGCACAATATAACCACTAACTGATGGCGAGGGATTAGGGGAAAACTTCCCTTGTGGGCGGGTTATTCTATAATTGTCCACTATGGGGTTTCTTGCACCTTTCTTTGAAGTATCAGAGGGTAGCAACTGTTGAAGTGAGAAGACTGGATTAGGAAGGCTACCAGGCTCATCTGGTGTGGCAACTGCTGTGCTCTTTGGGGGCCTGGGAGGGTCACTTGAGAAATGGCATGGCTGAGAGGATGGCACAGGAGGCGTCATCAGACACCTGATTTTTCTTCACACACAGACCTTGCTTTCCTTCGCTGTAAATTTCACACAGAAAATAGATTTCCTATGCCTTCCTCACCAAGGTTTTTGCCAAAATGCACTCTATTTTTCAAGTGGTTTATTAGTTATCTTTCTAAGTTCAGCCTTTGCATCTGTTTTCCCTAAAAGCTTTTGACTTGGTTCATTTATTGTTTGAAGGAGACCAACATGCTACACTGAAACCCTGCCTGTGTTTCAAGGCACAATGACTGCAAGACTTGGTCTTGAGCAAGACAGAATGTGATCTCTTGTGTATTGTGTCTGCCTGCACTGGATTGAGCCAGCTGCAGCTCCCTGCAATAGCTGTGAGAGGAGAGGGCAGGCCAGCTCAGGGCACTCTGTCAGCATGCAGGATCACTGTAAAACACCAGCAGTTCTGTGTGAAACATCCAGAGGTGACAAATCCTCAGGCACAGTGTCCTCTGGGCTAGTTACAGAATTCTACTAATGCCCAGCTCTTCCATGGAGCTAACTTTTGGTGCCCTGGCCATGTAAGGGGAGTTTATGTTGCAGTTCTCTCTTGCTCTGTGCTGACATTCCTCCCTGAATTCCTGCCATGTCCAGCTGTGGCTTATCTCACTGCTGCATCTTTGCTTGTTCTTGACACTGGGTCAAACAGCTTTGTAGTATCCCCACTCTCTGCCCTGCTAAGAGCTTTGTGAACTTTAAATGAAGACTCCTAATCTCTCTTTTTGTCAGAAGAGCTACGGTACCAATTTTGCCTAATGTTTTTTTGAATTAATTTGGCTCCCTCTATCGTCCCCATTATTTCTGCTGGGCTGTGTTTTCTTTTGTATTGTTCTTTTTATTCCAGGATGCTAGGGGCTGCCCACAATCACTTCAGGTTGTTTCCTTTTTCTAGATTCTTACACTGTTCTTGAAAGACTTCTTTAAACTTCTTATTCAAGCACAAAAAGCTCTGCTCTCCCTCTGCTATTCAGCAGCAGGCAGAGCCTTGGTGAATAAACTGTGGCATTTCCTCTTCTTTGATCCATGTGCTCCTTCTCTTCCAAGCCACCTTTGGTTGTGAGTTTCCTGTCCATAACTAACAAAACCAAAGCCTGCTTTGGCCAGTGTCCTTCCAAGTATTCTGTATTCTTCCTCTGATAATTTCTTTTTTTGCCTAGGCTGCTGGTAACATTTCCTCTACCACTGATTTTTTTAGCTCAATATCCAGTCCTGGCTGCTCTCTACTTTCCAGACTTACCCTCCTCCCCTGTCTTCTGTGCTTTTTCTCATCCTTTCTTCCCAAACTGGCTGAAGGTTGAGTCTTTGTGCCATGTAGAGCCACACTGAGGCTGATGGACCAAATCAGTCTCTTGTTTTCATTGTTCCAGGTCATCTCTGGATTTGGGAGCTCACTTTCTGGCGGAGAAAAAAAAAAAGGCAAACAAAAAACAAACAAACAAACAAACCAAATTCCAAGTGCCAAAAGCTAATTTTAAAAAGGTTGTAGAGTTGCAGGGACTGCATGTCCCCATTCCTGTATGATAAATCATTTAATCTAGAAACAAAAAAGAAGAGAGGAGTGTTTTCCTCTTTCTCCAGAAACACTGATCCAAAGCTTACATGTAATGCTCAGCAGATGACAGGTAGATCTCTTGTAGCCTGCCTCTGAAAGATAATGGATTTCTGACAGGCACAGGTCAGTTCCTCACCAGCTGAGGTGATATTATCATTAATAAAGATCTCTTTTAAAAGAACTCTTAACTTCCTTGCATTTCCACCAGCTGGCTTTAAGCTAAAGCCCAGTGAACTGTGTTCCTATAAACCAGGTTCAGGAGGAACTGCAGTCTTCCCTTGTAAGGAATCAAAAGGAAGAAGAACTTGCAGAAAAGACCCACCAAACCTCAGATTCTGTTCTTACTGGCAGCACATTCTCAGAAGGACTTGGCTCTGGGAAGTTCAAGTTTTCCTGATTCAGGAGAAATGATTTAACAATAAAGCCTAACATTTCTGTTCTTTCAAAACAGAACTTTTGCATTTCTGGCTGTGAAGAGCTTCATCTCCATTTTCTAGCCTGTCTGAATTTTATTGCCTCCTTCCTCATGTAGACCTCCCTCAACAATCTAACACCAGCAACTCTCACTGCTTTTGCTTAGTTTTGCTGAGTTATGAAGTAGAAGACAAATGTGATTTAGCCACCTACTTTCACCCCAAGCTACTTCTACCTTCTAGGATTCTTCATATTTTGATCCATCTTCAAGTCCCTTGTTCCCTTTTCAATGCCTCCTGAGCAAAGAGGTTTTGGTTTACATAGCACAGTGAAAAAGTGTTCCTGAACAGAGCAGAGGCTGGAGTATTTAGCACTGGGAGGTCTGGCTTTCACCCCTGGATCTGCTTTTCCTTCTCAAACAACAAATCAAGGAAACCAAGGCAGTGAAAAAGAAGGCACAGATTTTTTTGGGTAGTGGTAGAGCTGGAGTCATGGAGGCAGCCAGAGGGATCACAGAAGAGGTGTGGAAGCAGATGAGAAATTTTGCTTCTTTTAACTAAACCAGGAGAGTCAAGAGAAAAAAAAAAAAAAAGACATGTTGCATAATTTTGATAATTACTTCTTTTGAGCCACTAGTTCTGATCTCCTAAGAAGTAGGGAAAGCAGTGGCACACAAGGGGCTGACATAAGAGGCATGAAAGCCAAGAGGAGTGGTTGAAAGAGAGGAAAACAGATTTGAAATAGAGGACAGGGTTGCAGTCAAGAGATTGTGTAGGATGGGAGAGACACAAGGGATGAGAGAAACTGGTAAATTCTCTGAGAGGGGGAAGTAAGTACTAATACTAATTAGCAGGGAGCAAGGAAAGG